CATTAATAATTTATTATTATTATTATTATCAATTCATTATTATTACTATTAATTTATTGTTATTATTTTATTTTTATATAATGTTTATTAATAATAAAATTTACTTAACTATAATTATTATCTAATATCTTACTCATGTGATTGATGTTGCATTGAAGTCTGCATCTTTAAATTATTTGTGCATTATTAATTTATCAATTTCTATTTAGAATCTACTGTGATTTTAACCCCTTCAAGAACATAATTTGCTTATTATGCATAGTTAATTTTACCATGAAAACAATAGGCCCTAAAATAAGGCAATGTATTCACATCTATGATAACAAATACTGAAATATAACTGAATAATTAATTTGTTCAACTTGTAGATCTAAACCTAGGTTTCACATTGTAAAATAATGTATAAAATAAAAATTTAAACAGGAAATACCTCACCTAATACTGTAAGGAACTAAACTACTAGCTCTACTAACATCAGTCACCAATTTATCTCATACAACAATTCATCAAATGTCAGGAGTCCTCACAAGACGCTGCTGATCACCATCGCATTTATATCCACATTTCCCATACAGACCAGTAGTGTATTGTCTTTAATCACATTCTTCCAATCTCGTCCAGTTCTCTGTCCATATAATATCCTGCTTGATTCAGTGTTCCATGTAAAAGGCATGTTCCCACCAAAGACATCAAGAACAAATCCGCTTCAATCGTGGAAAATATCAACAATAATGCTGCTTATAGGGCACACAGAAAATCACCGACGTCTTATCGATTCATATCTAGAAGATATTACTATCGATTGCTGTTTTGATCAGCGATTTTTTCCATTTTTTTCAACAACTCATTTCTTCCTTGTTACAATATTCGACGCCAGCGTTAAAAGGATATGACGTAGATACAGTACCTACGTCATAACCAGGGCAGGGTATAAGTTGTTCCCCAAATAACAGAGACTATTCTATAGAAATAGTCATCAATAGGTAGTAGTGGATTCACTAGAATAACCATCTGTGTGCCTTGGTCGATGTATGGTGAAGGGTTGGCACCATATTATGGAAACACATATCTTGTTATATAACCGTAAGTAATAGTTACCGTACGAGGAATAGGTCTGCATAGTATTTACAGACCCGGGTGACGATTTGAAGACCGAGAGAGCGTAGCGATCGAGGTTTTTAAAAGGCCACCGGGTCTGTAAATACTATGCAGACCTATTCCGAGTGCGGTAACTATCTTACCTACATGCCCTTTTGTTTTTCTATCCATACATCAGTTTTTAGCTCAGTATTTATTAATATTACTCACAAGAAACATATTACTTATGTACTTTATCATGTTTAAGAAAGCATTCCAAAGCCAAGCAAAGATACCATCCGCTACGCTCTTGTAATTCATTCGTTCACAAATCAGGTGTTATTTGAATATTCTCGTGATTTTCGTGGGGTTTCATTAGGTAATGTACTTGTTGAGTTGAGTCACAGAAAATGAAAACAGAACTTGTCGAGTAGGGAAAGGTAAGATCATTATTTTTGATATGTGAATACATAACATATTAATAATATAAACACATACTGAGGAAGATAAAAATGTTTTCTAATCATAAAAAACGGAACACTTTATCTTTATATATAATCATGGTAAATAGATGATCAGGCTATTTCTTATATACATGTAATTAAAATATACGATTTTTTCAAAGGAAAGTACAAGATGGGGTTCTATGAATAAATATTAGTAATACATGTAGTTACACCGTTATGTAAGTTGAGTTTTGTTGTTGTTGTTTTTTATGATGGCTGTTTTTAAATGTTCTTAGAATTTCATCCATGTTTGGAAGAATTTTCTTTCCGTGTATTATTAATTAGCATCATCCGTTATTAGACCGCATGTGTAGCAACGCTATATGTCGCAACAACGCTATATGTCGCAACTAACGCTAAATGTCGCAACGCTGACGCTATATGTCGCAATCAACGCTATATGTCGCAATCGCATACCGCTAAATGTCGCAACGTTGCCGCTATATGTCGCACAAAAATCGATTGCCGCTAAATGTCGCAACGTTGACGCTAAATGTCGCACTTGGTAGGAAAGTAACAGATGGAACTAAAACAAAAAGTAAGTGTTAAAACATTTAAAGTTTATACCATTTACACATGAAAACATATCCTAGTAAGCAAACAAAAGTTGTATTTTGCGGTCTATGGCAAAAACTTTGTATGGCCATAGAAACGGCTTTTGATAAAAGGGATGGATTTGGTTCTCAACCACGGACCAGGTGTGAGATCAAACTTTCTCTTTGAGGATGTCTTTCTCACAAAATGCATCAACAAAAACGTTTGGATATACATGTATATTTGTTATATTATTTGACATAACTGAGCAAACCGCTTGTTAATGCTAAGGGTGGGCTATATCTTAATATATATTTTATAATTTTATTATACATGTTCATAATCTGACTAGATAGGCTTTACTGCATGTAAGTATTAAATAATATCCAATTGGTATGTTGATCGATATTCGTAACTATGCGGTGTATTGATTTAGGTTTATGACAGAATTGTTATACTTTCATAACTTTTTATATCTATCTCAATATTTCTTTGGGAACATTAATGAATCAATATACTATGGAATTGCCAAATGTTGACTGCCTACTGCTTACTGTCAACTGCTTACTGTCAACTGCTTACGGCTTACTACTTATTATTCACCGCTAATAGCATTAAAATAAAAATGGACGACCTATTACAACTATGTTGGTCAAAAAATTATTCAGTTGCCGAAATAGTTGCCGTTCTGGAGGTCAAACACAATATAGTGCAGTGGTATGTAGGCCACTTCCAACAGCCTTGATGTTGGGTAAACCCTTTAGCGATGTGGTTGAGGTGTCCGCCTACGGACCAAGAGGTCTGTTGTTCAAAACCCGGTTGGACCCTTGGTATTTTTCTGCATTCTAATTTACTTTAATGGTGTCAGAAGTGTTTGACGGACTCATGCGGTAAGCAGGGAGTGTCATTCAGGAGAGCTGGCTAGCTCTGAAAAGTAAAGAGGGGGGGGGGGGGGTGTAGTGGTTGTAGGTATATAGGCCACTTCCATCAGCCTTGATGTTTGATTAACCCTTTAACGACGTGGTTGAGGTGTCCGTCTACGGACAAAGAGGTCTGTGGTTCAAAACCCGGTTGGACCCTTGGTATTTTTCTGCCTCCTAATTTACTTTAATAGTTTACAGGTACATATATATTCTTAGATCAACATTTAAAAGAATTCACTGATAAATTAATAAATGCATGGACTATAACATGGAATTCCATAAACGACAGCCAACTGTTGACTGCTTACTGTCTACTTCTGACTAACTACTGCCTACTGTTAACTGCCTACTGCTTACTGTCAACTGCTTACTGTCAATTGCCTACTGTCAACTGCTTACGGCTTACTGCTCATTGTTCACTGCTTATAGCATTAAATATACCAAAACCTAAATAATTATGCTTGTCTGTGCAATAAATCGTTGATAACTCGGTCGGAATCCTTTGGCTGATACATTGCAGTAAGCAATAGTGTAAGCAGCGCGCAGTAAGCAGTCAACAGTTGGCTGTCGTTTATGGAATTCGAGAATATACTGTATTATAATCAGGAGACTGCTTATGAATTTTGGACGATTTAGTGGCCTAATTCTCGAAATAAGACGTATAATTAGAGAATCTCGTTGGGCAAATGCCTGGTTACACCTTCGCCTTTGCGTTGATGCCATATGTTGGTTTGAAATTGTAGATATATGGTATGGAAGGCCGTAAACGTTTGTAGGTCATATAATAATGTTTTAAAATATATGAGATAGGTGAAAGCTGAAACTGATATAACGTTGGATTTCATTTTTTTTTAAATATCACAATTAGTACTAAGAATTTGTTTTCGTCATTGTACTTCGTTTATATTTGAAAGTTTGCTTTCCAAAAGTTTTGTTCTATTTCTTTGATTACAAATGGGAGATTTGTACATAATATTTATCATAACATTTACATTAAGTTTATAATTTACTACTCTTAAAATGATAACTAAAACTCTAATGCTATATCATGTTTTATGTACACTGTAAATGTAAATGTTCAAGAATAGAACACATCTTGAACGCCTATTTGCAACAGATATTGAACGCCAAGACGCGTTCCATTTCTTAATACTAGTGTTCAACTTTTGTCTCCAACCGTTCATATACTAACGCCTTATGAACATCTAGGGTTCAAATTTTAACGTTGACGTTAAAATCTTAACACCAAACCATTCCATTATAGAACATGTTATGAACACTCAGGTGTTCTACTTTTAAATGCCAGACGCGTTCAATTTCGATGCAACAGATATTGAACGCATAGAACATGTTCAAAATTAGGTATGTTAAAAGTTAGAACACTGATGAACACTTATGTTAACATTTGAACACCTGATAAAACAACAGATCTAAGTCATAAAACAAAGAATCATATTGAGATTTTTTAATTATTCTTTAGTTATTCACAATAACAAAATGAATAATGTTATCCAAAATTTCTTATTATTTTCTAACTCTAAGCCTGATAAGCAGTTATAAAGTAAAAAATGAAAAGATTTTAAGATTAACAATTATGATCAAAATGTAAAAAATTAAATACTGTTTTACAAAGTTCTTTCAGTAATTTGTTTGTACATGATAACATGAATCTTGCGTTTCATTTCAGACCACAAAAATACGAGTAATCACACAGCAACATAACCTGTCTCTCAATATCCTAGCATTGTTTCACTTATTGTTATTACATGTTGTATTTTTATGTGTTATATTCTTGTGTGCATGAATGCAGTCTTCTTAACATATTAACACAAGAATTAAGGATAATTTCCTAAATTTCTTCGCAAATACAAACTGCTGCGAGAGTACATAAACAATAATCAATATTCTATGTCGAAACACAAAAAAAAACAGTTGCTCCCATCTGTAGTGTATGTTATCAAGTTTGTACGGGGTATTTTCATTTGTCTCCAATTTAGCAGGAAAATCATATTCTTCACTATCCTGGAAAACATTAATGAAATTTATTAACATGCTTGTGATTTAAAGGCTTATAGTTGCTTCCTATGAAAGAAATCATTCTGTACAGTTCTGATATAGAGAATAACAGCCTAAGTGCTTGACATACATGTATATAATATATATATTATGTTTAAGCATTATCTAACAATTTATCAGACACCACATTCAAGTCAGATTATCTTAATACAATTCTGACATCACCAGGGCCATGCACATTCTCACAAAGTCGATTTGAATCCGTAGCTACGACTCTTGTACGACACAATTTATTTGTGACACAATGTCAGGCCATCTTTGTAACAGTTATGGAATGTAAAATGATTTGATTAACAATAAAAGCTCATTTGGAAATGTTAGAATTTAAATATTATCAACCTAATATTGTTTAAGGAAACAAACCTCAAAGATCTGTATGGAAGTCTGGAACAGTTTCTGTAGATCTACAGTCTATAGTTCAAATCTTTCATCACTGCTTGAAACAACACTACTTACTCGCTATCCTATTAAAATATAAAGCAACACAATATATCATACAAAGATCTATACATAATTTCTAAATAATTCATTAATCTTTGCATTTAAATAGATCTAACCCCGACTACTCAGAAAAAATCTACAATATCACATAGATCTTCTCCTTGTATATAAGGAGACACGTTAATAACTACAACAATATGACGACTTAGTTCTTTTCAGAAAAATAAAATAATTATGGATAAAAAAGAATGCTAAAGAAGTAAAAGTTAATACCGTTTTTTTCTTCAATTTTAGTCATTGTTACTGTAAAGTGTTCAGCTTGCGTTTCGCCAACGCTTACTTGTTGTTGTTGTTGTTGTTGTTGTTGTGGTACTTGAATGACGTCAGAAATTGTCACAAATCTATTTTTAGAAACGTTCTCAATTAGAACATTCGATGAACGCTACTGTTCATATCATGTTCCACTTTAAAATGTTTTAATTATTAAAGCACCATTACTTGTTAAATTGCGTAAATGTAACCCCAACTGACAATATATTGACCAAAAAACTTACCCAAGTAGTCAAAAACTCAAATTCTTTCATGTTGTCTAGTCAGAAGGACTACCATTGAACACTGACGTTCAAATGATAAGTGTTCAACTCGTAAATAGAACTCCTTTTCTGAACACAGGCATTAAAAATATAAACGCGCAATGTTCCAAAATTGAACAAGTGTGAACGCGTCCGGTGTTCTCCTCATTTACAGTGTAGTTTTACGGTTACACTAGTCGTTTATGAATATTATTGTTCACTTAATCATTACAGTATCAATTAGCATTATTTGATTTCAATATACTTGTTCTTGTTGGAAAATATGGATTAAAATGATTTGCACAAACTTGAGTTTATTTTTTTGATTTGACTTTGTAATCATGGTACCTTACCACATTATTAACTGTATAACATTAACGTGTATTTTATTTCTTGCGGTGCCTTGTGCCGCCGCATTGCGGCCTTGCCGCATAAACTGGTTCAAAGTTGTTTATGCGGTGATTTTCTCCGCATTAAAGAAATACTTTTTATGCGACACAAAGGTTCCCTGTCACCGCATAAAAACAATTAAAATGTTTAAGACTTTTTTGTATTAGTGACGGGGTGTTTTTTGACGTTAAAAAATAAAATAAAGATAAAAAAAAAACATTTATCTCCTGCTAAAGTTATGTAAATGTGCATCAATCAAAATTGAATCGGCGTATGACATATTTTTTACCATTTATTGGACTGACGGACATTTATGATCATTCGTAACGTCATTTTAAACATTTTTAAGAGATAATTGTTAATGACAGGCCACGCAAGTTTGCTCGGTTGTGTACTAAATTTTTATTATGTCGTGAAATTGATTTCGCTAAATCGTGAAAATTTGCCGCCGCATTTGTCGGAACAGGCGCGCAAGTTTTAGAGGCATATCTAGGCATACCAGTAACTCGATTTTGTAAATGAAAGAAAATTATAAAATAAGATTATTTTACTTTAATGTATTAGAACCGTTCTACGGTAGTCTACAATGGAATCCCTGTTTAAGGGATAAATTATTATCGAAAGTTGTTGAAATATTAATACTTTACTTTGTTTGGCTTGAAAATATATAAACTCAGGTTCAACGTCTTTATGTGGCAAAAAGGCACTGTTGCGCCGCATAAAAGCAATTTTCGCTTTATGCATTGCGCCTAGCCGCATAAACGTGTTCACCACTATTATGCAAGGAAAATCACCGCATCAATGACTTTGAACCCGTTTATGCGGCAGGGCTTCTATGCGGCGTCACAGTGCCTTTATTCGGCTGCGAAGCATCCAAGTCTTATATGATTTTATATAACACACATGATTTACTGCGGCACTACACGATTTATTTTACGAGTTCCCAATAAAATCACAAGTAAATAAAAAATGTCTCGTACATAATTTTAACACTTTGGGGCACATTTTAAATTTCTCGCATTGTTGCAAAACATTTTTATTTTTCATTTTTGTCAAATGAAAAGAAAGTATTTTCTCATATCCGTAAACATCCAATGGACTGGACGATTTCAGATTTTCATGTATAGGGGGTAGGTAATCGAGACTAAATATCATGGAACTAGACAATAAAGCTCAGGTAATGATGACGCATAGAATCTTGTTACCTGACCTGTCTGGATCTAAAGGGGCACTGTTATGTATTGGACAAACACGCAAACTGTGTTACATTCTCATAATACAAAATGTATATCTGAAACTATCCATCTAACCTTTTTGCCTTAAAACTAGAAAATAAGTTCGTTATGAAGAAATGTATATTTTTTTATATTTAACGCATTAAAGTTTTTGCAATCAAATAAACCGTGTGATAAGGAAATATTTTACTATTATAATTATACTTTAGTAACGATTCCCCTTTAACCCAGTAAAATGTTAAGATCAGATTGTAATTTATAACTTCGTGGTGTAACATAGTAATACATTTTTTTTTGTTTTTTACATGCTGTTAAGCAATTTGGTAAAACTCAACAGCTGCCTTTTAAATAACAGTTTTTCATGCCTTTCCATCAAACAATTGTTTCGCAGCCATTTTACGCTTGTATAGTTATATATATTATATTAAAGTATCACGGTTCTGTTATACCTAGTTGATGTTATTGTGACGTGTGTGCTTTTCATTGGTCAGAAAACTGTTTGTGGTGCTAAGGACAATGCTTCAACGGAATGCCTGGGTTACATACAAGTTGTTTGAAATTTGTTCAAATTCGCATAATAAATGATAACGTTATGGAGCGGACAAGAATTTGACCTTCAAGTGTGACCTTGACCTTGACGCGGTAGGGACCTTGATGCTGCATGGGACACAATATCTAATGCCGGTGAACATTTGTGTGAAGTTTGATCAAATTAGCATAATAAATTAAAACGTTATGGAGCGGACACGAATTTAACCTTTGACCTTCAAGTGTCCCGCTACCAACTATTTTGATGTTTGGTATTAAATAGTAATAAGACACATCACGCAGTAATGATATGAATTCACGCGGCTTATATTTAATTTCATTTTGTTACCGATATAACCTCTGTTAATGCGATATATGTATTTGTGAAAGGTAGTTTTGTTACAAATATAAATGGAAACCAATCGGTCAATGTGCCTGATCTGATTTGACTTTTCCACCAAGTGCGACATATAGCGGCGTTGCGACATATAGCGTTGCTACACGCATGTAAGCACGCGGTCTAGAATGGAAGCGCAAGTCGTATTCTTGGTACTGGTATACAAAATCCAAATTGTAATGTAAAAATAACTGGGAAAAATGAGAAAAAAGGTCTTATACTTAAGATGAACTATACAGTACTCTCACTGAAAGTAATATTTTGGAAAAAGGAAAGATGCAGAAGTTGACTTTGATTCGATATGCACCAATAATATAATCGTCGTATATATCCTATAATGCAGAATTGTTAAAATAATGCAGGATTGTGCAAATTCAGACATAGTTGTGGAAATAAATACCGAAAACTAGTATCTTATGAATATATATAGTTCGGCAAATGTGTTAGGTATACCGAAAAGCAAACTTTAAAGAAAGGCTTAATGTGCGTTGTTATACTGTACTCATTAATATCGGCGAAACACAAAACTTTAACGCCAGAACAGTAGCCAGTTCGTTTTTCTCACAAATAATCTGGAATATTAGTTATGAGGGTACTTACAGCCGTATACGCTAATTTATTTCGATTAATCTTTGAAATATATATCGACCCTTTTTCCTATTCAAAGTGGTCATTATCCCCCCCTATCCCCCACAATTTAGAGTTATTTTACGGTGAATATTGTGTACTGTAATGCACGAGTTTCTCGGCTTCACATAGTTTCTATTGTATAGAGAACAATAGAACAATAACCGGTCGGTATCTATTTGCAGACCTGTTAACCGGTCGGTAAGTGATTTACTAGACCGCTTTTAACAAAGGAGCCGGTAGGTAACATTTGTTAACCGTTAATATCCATGCAATATCCGAATTACCAACTACATTCTGGTAGGTAGCTGAGGATTCACGCGAATAACCAACTGTGTGCCTTGGTCGACGTAGAGTGCGGGGTAATACCATTTGGTAGAATTCATCTAACGTGTCATATATTTGTTTTTTTTTTGTTTGTTTGTTTATTTGTTTTGTTTGTTTTATTTTTTTTTTTGCTGTTTCGAAATTTATTTGCTAATTTACGCGGATTGAAAGTGTTCTTTGCGATATGTAAATTAGTTTCTTTGTTCCCTCGAAAATGTTTTACCTTTAATTTACATTAAATTTTTAAAATTTTCATAAAAATTAGTATGAGGCTGGAGTTTTGCTGCTTTAACATACTTTTTTCACCTAATTTCCACTAACAGTGTTATCTTTAACATGTGAAAATTAGATTAAAAAGACTTGTCTCAAACCATCATTTATCATTAACAACAAGTATTACTAGTAATTTTGCTTACTTACTGTCAATATTAGAACTGCGATTCTATTTTACGAAACATGTTCTTTCTGGCATTTTTTATTGCCTGTCAACAGTCTTACTTATTTTCTTTTTTACTACTCGTTTTTGTAAAGTCCTTTTCATAACCCCTCGAGCAAGGATACGAATGTTAGCCATTGTAAAACACTTTAGAGCTAACAGCTATATTAACTATTTAGGTGTGAACATTAAATTGCATTACTCAATTTCAAGTTTGTATAAAGGGACTTCCAAAATAGTTATAAATCAGAGCGGGCGCTGTAGTGCAGTGGTAACACTGTCTGACTACAAATCTAGGGGTTGCGAGTTCGATCCCCCGCTACTCCACTAAAATACTAACAATCTTTCTACATCACTAAAATACTAACAATCTTTCGTAAATTAATTAATAAAAACTACTCACACACTACTCAAATGTTTATAACACTATACCCACAACACGAACTCAAGAGACACAACTCACATACTGACACACAGGATTCTACTGCAACACTGACACACAGGACATTACTGACACACAGGACACTACTGACACACAGGACACTACTGCAACACTGACACACAGGACACTACTGACACACACTGACACACAGGACATTACTGACACACAGGACACTACTGCAACACTGACACACAGGACACAACTGCATCACTGACACACATGACATTACTGACACATCACTACTGCAACACTGACACACAGGACAGAACTGCAATCACTGACACACAGGACATTACTGACACATCACTACTGCAACACTTACACACAGGTCACTACTGACACCACAGGACACTACACAGGACAGAACTGCATCACTGACACACAGGACACTACTGCAACACTGACACACAGGTCACTACTGACACACAGGACACTACTGCAACACTGACACACAGGACACAACTGCATCACTGACACACAGGATATTACTGACACATCACTACTGCAACACTTACACACAGGACACTAATGACACACAGTCCATTACTAACAACACTACTGCAACACTGACACACAGGACACAACTGCATCACTGACACACATGACATTACTGACACATCACTACTGCAACACTTACACACAGGACACTACTGACACACAGGACACTACTGCAACACTGACATACAGGACACTAACATACAGGACATTACTGACACACAGGACACTACTGCAACACTGACACACACGATACTACTCAAACACTGACACACAGAACACTTCTCAAACACTGAA